TAGTCTTCCCTATGGCCCTTCAAGAAAGGTTGAATCGTCTAACTACCACATCTCCCATTTCAGCCTATATTACCAACCATAATCAGCAATTCGATTAGGGGCACATTACAGAATGGGGCATCCATCCCATTTTGCTTTTGTTTTTGAAGATGAAATACCTAAGTTGGCTATCTATAATAAACTTTGCTCTGTATGTCCCTTAGCAAAGTTGCATAAACTTCCATTTCCTGTTAGTCAGCGCAAATCAGAAAGGTGTTTTGATTTAATATATTGTGATATCTGGGGACCTTGCAATGAAACTAGTTACAATAGATCTCGTTATTTTCTGACTATTGTGGATGATTTTAGTAGATGTACTTGGATATTTATGCTCAAATTGAAATCTGAAGACACAAATGCTTTACAAATTTTTTGTAAGCTGATAGAAACTCAATTTCAAACTAACATTAAAGTTATCCGTAGTGACAATAGAGGAGAGTTTAGCATGAACCAATTCTACCTTGAAAAGGGCATTATTCATCAGAAAACATGCATTGAAATCCCTCAACAAAATGCCATTGTTGAAAGGAAACACCAGCATATTTTAAACGTTGCAATGGCCCTAAGATTTCAGAGTGGTATTGCCTTAAAATACTGGAATGATTGTGCCTTAACTGCTGTTTATCTGATTAACAGAACTCCTTCAGCTCTTCTAAACCACAAAAGCCACTTTGAAATGTTGTTTTAGACCAAACCTTCATATTCTCACTTCAAGGTATTTGGATGCCTTGCCTTCTCTACAACTCTCACAAATGGCAGGCATAAATTTGATTCTAGAGTTAGGAGATTCATTTTTCTGGGCTATCCTTTTAGTATTAAAAGCTATAAACTCTTGATTTGGAAACAAAAAAGGTCTTCATATCAAGAAATATTGTGTTTCATGAGACTATCTTTCCATGCAAAGAAACTAAAATTACCAACATACATGCTCCACCAAATCCTACCGATCTATGCTATCCCCAAAATTCTGTCAGATCTACTCCAACTGATGTTTTCAAAGAAAAGGGAAATCAATCTGCACACCCCATAATCCTACACAAATACAGAACAAATCTACACCAATAACCCTCAAATTGATCAAGATAGACAACAGTCAAACCAATGTGTGCCTGACAGCAACCAAATTATACCTCACTTGCCTAAAAGATCTACCAGAATTCGAAGAGCTCCAGCATATTGGCAGGCTACTTTACTTTCCCCACTGTAGGCATTGGACCAGAAAAGAGGCTCCATCCCCTCAGGTAATCCTCATCCTCTCAGCTCTAGTGTGTTATACGATAGGTTATACATACCTCATATGGCTTTTGTCTCTTCTATCACTACACAAAATGAACCTAGAACTTACTAAAAGGCTGTGAAATCCCCTGAATGATGTGAGGCTATGAAAAAGGAGATTAAGGCTCTTAAGTTGAATGATACATGTGTTATACTTGATCTGCCACCTAACAAAAAGGTAATAGGGTGTAAATAGGTTTACAAAATCAAGTTTAATGCTGATGGAAATGTAGAAAGGTACAGAGTTAGGCTGGTAGCAAAGGGATACACTCAACAAGAAGGTTTAGATTACCATGAAACTTTCTCACCAGTAACCAAACTTGTCATCGTCTGAACATTACTTGTCATTGCAGCTATAAAGGGTTGGTACCTATACCAATTATTTCTTGCTTGGATATTTGGATGATGAAGTGTTCATGGAACTACCCCCAGGTTATGATAATGCTAGTGGTTCAAAGGTATGTAAGCTTCGCAAGAGCTTATATGGGCTCAAACAAGCTTTACGACAATAGTATTCAAAGTTGTCTAATTTCATTCTTCAGTATGGTTTTACTCAATCTAAAGCAAACTATGATCTATTTGTTAAGACTACTCAAAACTCATTCATGGCTGTTTTAGTCTATGTTGATGATATAATTATGGCTAGAAATTGCTCGGAAACTATCAACAATCTGAAGGCAGCACTTGATGCACAATTTAAAATTAAAGATTGGGGCAAACTGAAATACTTTCTGGGTATTGAGGTGGCTAGATCAAAACAAGGGATACATATTTGCCAAAGAAAGTATACCCTGGACATTCTTGCTGATTTAGGAACCATAGGGTCAACACTAGCCAAGGTACCACTTGATCAAAAGATCAAATTATCCAAGGGAGAAGGAGAACTACTAGCTGATCCATCAATTTATAGAAGGCTGATTGGATGTTTCCTATACTTGAGCATAACCAGATGAGATATATCCTACTCAATTCAGCTCTTAAGTCAATATATGGATCAACCAACAATACCCCATCTCAATGCAGCACATAAAGTACTAAGGTACCTTAAGAGAGCTTCGGGATAATGTTTATTCTATCCATCTACCTCTGAACTACAACTAAAAGGATACTTAGATTCGAATTGGGGAAGCTGTCCAGACACTAGAAGGTCATTAACAGGGTACTGTGTATTCATTAGCTCATCTCTAGTGTCCTGAAAATCAAAGAAGCAAATGTAGTATCACGATCATCTTCTGAAGTATAGTATAGAGCAATGGCGAGTGTTTGCTGTGAATTAACTTGGTTGAGATACTTATTCAAGGATTTACAGATTAAGCACGGTCAAACAACTAGCCTATATTGTGATAATAAATCAGCAATCTACATTGCCACAAATCCCATCTTTAATGAAAGAACTAAGCATATAAAGATTGATTGTCATCTCATTCGTGATAACATACAAGCTGGAAGTATTGTTGCTGAATATGTGCATACTGGTTCTCAAGCCGTAGGCATCCTAACTAAGGCCCTGAAATCTACAAGCTTCTACCTTCACATGACCAAGATGGGAGTAGTAGATGGGAGTAATAGATATCTACTCTCCATCTTACGGGCAGTTGTTGAAAGATGAGCACAAGCTGAGGAAGTTGAGGAATTAAAGGAATGATCTGGCATCCTACTTACCAATTCGAACTTCATCAGCAACCATTGCTGATTGTACAATGGAAGAGCCTAGAAGGCTACATTTTTATAATCTGTTTGTATTGCACATGGATTCAATTATGATGAGAGAATATTCATTCATTTGTAACAGATTTTATTCCTTCTGTCTCACACGTGAGTTGTATATATATTCTTTGTAATTTGTATTGTAATCATCATCTTGAATAGAAGAAAGTTTACATCATCACAAGTCTTCGGAATTCTTCTATCTCAAATTTTATATTTGTATGCTCTTGCATTTTAACAAGAAGTAAACTGAACTGCATAAAAACTGAAATTACGTTCATTATCATTATTTACTAAATCATTGTCTAGAAATTGGATATAACCTATTCAACTCCCTCTAAGTTGTCTTTCTCCTAGATCACAACTTTTCAGAACCTTTTCTCATGATCTCATGATTTGGCTGGCTTTGTATCTAAAATCATTGGCAAACCAACTTAGCGTCCAAGTTGACTTAATCAGTTGTTTAGCTCATTCAGTCATGGAACTTGATCATTCCTGCCATTTAACTTCATGTCTTCGGCATGTTTGATGTTTCTGATCAGTTTGGGTGGCATATTAATGGATGACGCAGAAAAGAAGAACCCAAATGAAAAATTGATACAAATTCGATAATTGCCGACATTATCACAGTAGACCCTGTCTGGTACTGCATTAGTTCAAAGCCACGGAAAATTGTAATAATATGAGGCAGTTGTTGACAGTATAATAATAATTTTCTCTTTAATAGGTTAATTTGGACCATTTCAAGGTCTAGTAGTTTCACTTCTAATTGTAAGATCTTAAGGCAGGGGCGGACCCACATGGGGTCAAATGACCCCACATATTTTTTGGTTTTTTAAATAAATAATTGTTTTGACACCCTTTATGACCTGCATTCATTATGAGATGCCAAATGAAGTCGAAATATTACATT